AGCCAGTGCTCCAAGTTCTGGCTGTCACAGCATCCCCCCCACCCCCCCAAAAAAGAGAGATCTAGGCACTTGATTGACAACCTACCAAGCTACTTGACGTTATAAACAATTGTACAGGGGGGGGGAGGAGGAAAAAAGATGGCAATTACTTGAGAAGGAAGCTGGAAAGAAATAAAGAGGCTGGGCAGAGAGTGACTCTGGGGCAGAAATTCACATGGCATCTCAATTCCCCTCCTCCCCATATATGTACAATTGTTTAAAACATCCTGTAGCTTGGTAGGAAGCAGATGGATCAAATACTATGAAGCCTGTAAAAATTCCAATGGAAAGAGATGAAAAGTAATTAACTCAATTCCAGATAGTGATGTAAAATAATCAAGTAACTTTTCAATCAAGTGCCCAGATCTCTCTTTTTTTGGGGGGTGGGGGGGATGCTGTGACAGCCAGAACTTGGAGCACTGGCTGTAAGTCCACCTTGTTCAGCATCATTGTAACTTGGAATTGTGGCTAAATGGGAATTCTAGTACCTTTGTCAAGGTCCTTGCTGACTTCTGCTCTGTCCTTGCAAACCCTGCTGTCCTTTTCTCCAGCCAGATTGCCCTGCCAATTGTCTTTCTGATCCTTTTGCTCTTGCTTGTCCTCAACCACAGATTCCTCCTCCGACTCATGCAGCACAAACACAACCCCCCATTACCTAACAGTTCTGTCAATTTTATATATTTTTCCCCAAAGGCAGACATCCCTTCTGTCAGTTGTATTAATTAGGCAGGAAGCTTCTAGTGTCTGTGTGACACTTGGCATGGATCTGGCAAATAGGCAAAGACATAACCTTGAGATTAATTTACAACTCTGACCCAAGCAGGACATCTCATCCTGCTACAAGACAATCTGCTCTTCTGTTAACTGAACATTATTACATTATGCTTGATACTGCTTTGCAGTTGGTAGTACTGTATTGCCAATTAAAGAAAGAAACCCAGTAGATTTATATATTTTGTCTGAAGAATATCCTTTATAGAATATATAGATCAAACTATGCTCCGAGACAGTTATTTCTGTTAGCAGTTATTAACTTCAACCACAGATCTTAGAAATAATTGTTGGATTTGCAAAATTTTAGAAAAGACAAGTTGCCCCAACTTATTAAAAACATACAAAAACCTTGTTAGTGGCTTAGTCTTGAAAGTAAGTCAAATAAATAAGAAAAATAATAAATAACTAAGCAGAAAAAAAACTGATATTTAATCTATGAAAATGTCACATTTAAAGTTAAAGCTACAGTATATTAAAAGATAAAATATGGTACTCATGGTAGTCTACTCATCCGTGGAAAAGTATTCAATACAATAAATACTTCATTTAATAGATTAATAGAGCATATGGGGTTGGGTAGGTTGTTAAATCTGATCCACAGTTTATATAGAGTTCATTAACGCAGTTTATATTAACTACAAATTTTGGTAACTATTTTTATTCATATGTCCATTATGTCAAGTTTCAGTTCAGGAATTTATTCTACCTCTGATGTTCTGCTCACTATTAACACCAGTTTAGACCTTAATACCGTATGATATTCCTATCAGGGTTCCAAGTAATAGATCCATTGCAAGCAAGAACTCCAAGGCAGGTGAATTCCTCAACAAATAGCTTGGAAATAACCATATTGGCATGTATCTTGTGAAAAACAACTCTGACAGGCCCCTTGGTTTTCACCTAATTAAAAGTCAGAGTTTTCCCCTCAATCCCAATCAGTCAGTCACCTGGCCCAATCACTGCAGCTTCTGCTGGTCTGGTGACATCACTTCTCCTTCCTCCGGCCAGATATGAGAACGTCCTTGGTTCCCACAAGAAAGTATTTTATTTTGACTACACAAGCCCAGCTATCTCTAATCCCCCCTCCCTATGCGTTGCTTCAGTGTGCCAGCACTGCAGCTCCAAGTTAGCTTCGCCCAGGTCAGCTTCACGGTTGACAATTCCTTATTTGCAATTAATGAGCTTTGCATACTAAAGTAATTCTAATGAACTTCTATGCACCCATCCAGTCATATGGGATATCCATATAACTGTTATCACACTCCGTAATGTTTTTCTTGTTCTTCTATCTGCCTTTCCCTTCCTTTTAAAAAATAAAATAGAAAAAAGGCACAAATTGCTATAGTGCTGGGTTGTTGTTTTTTGCTTTGATTTAAAAATGAAGGTTTGATGTATATTATGATTTACTGGAAGATGAAACTATCATAGCTGAATAATCTTTGCAGTGAGAAATATACCATTTCATGACAATGATAAATCTATACATGGTTCAGTTTTCAAGATAGGACAATGAAGCTCTGTGCCATTTGGGACACTTCCCCATCCTATTGAATCTTTGAGATCAATAAATAAGTTGAATATTAAACATAGAACATCCTTGCCTCCTCTTCATTTTTCTAACCAAGCATTAGCTACAAAGAAATGGGTTATTCTTCATGGCTTTTGTCTTCCTTAATCTATGCATTCTCTGTTTTCTTTTTCACATTACCTCCCATTGTTCTTCTGTTTGCCATTGCGTAGAGTATTTCTTTAATTAGAAGCTTCTATTCTGTTTCCCCCCTCTATTACTTTGCTTTGGAATAGTTTTTGACATTATATGTAATTATGTATTGTGGTTACTCCATAATAACTCTTTCTTCTCAGCTGTAACATATAAATAAAACCCAGATTCTGTGTTGATTATTATTACCTGGGAAATTAAGAATTATCTTCATGATTAAAAAGAGATGGTTTTGGTTTGTTTTTAAAATATACTTCCTCTGGTAGACGAATAGATACAATGTGAAAAAAAAATTATATAGTAATGGATAAATATACTTCTACATACTTTAAACTGTGAAAAAAACCTAAGTTTCAATATGTTTATTGAATTTTTAACATTTAACTTTTTATTAGTTTATCACAGTATAAGATACAAAGAAAAAAGGCATGAAAAAGTAAGAGAGGGAGGGAAAAAGAAGGGATATAGTGTAACGGGAAAAAAGAAAGAAAAGGACTCTGACTTCCAACTCTCTTTAGCACAGTAGAAGGTAACAACATTACAACCACAACACTTGTTATTCAATATGTTTATTGAATTGGAATGCATTACAATATTGAATACCTTGAATGATTTATAGTCGTTCTGCTTGGTGATGGAATGCATAAAGAGTGGAGCAAAGTAAAATTCATATTGCTATCTCAGTTACTAAACTGGAAGTAAAACTTAACACTAGAAGAATGTTTCCAGCCTTTCGGTGCAAGTTATGCTTTTATGATGAGACCTGAAGATACAAGGCAATTGCTTTCTATTGTACGACATTTTAAACAAGAATTCTTTTTAAGCTGTGTAAATGTCCTTAAATAAAGTTAGGTCAATATAAGGCCAATTGAATACTCATCTATCAGGCACCAGCTTTTTGTTTCCATGCATACATTTTAAGAAGTTCAAATATATCATGGACCAGTGGAAGAAAGCATCAGGATAAATTTGCTAATATCATCTCTATTTTGGCAAATATTTGTTAATTAAGAAGTTGATTTAAGTCCTAGTTTTAAGCTTTACTCAAAAAGACAAAAATCAATTTTAGATTACCAAAAATCAGTTTAAATCCCCGTTTACCAAGAATTAAAAGTAACACATTTTAACATGGGAAAGGAGGCAGGACATTTGTAAAAATTCTTATGGATAGTTGCTTGGAAACCAGGGTAGATTTGATTTAAAATGTTAGTAGGGAAGATTCAAATTTAATGATTTAAATTGTGATTTTAGTTACTGTTCTGGAAGACCCTATTACCATTTCTAGTTAAAAGTGCATTTGTTTGATGACACCTTTGACAGTGAGATGTAAATTTCATTTCTAGAAGGTACATTTAGCATATAGAGTAATATTGATTGTTTTTAGATGAATTGCCATTAAAATTGAATTATATGTTAGTACTCACGCTCCTTTAGAGCTTTACAGCTGGAGCAGCAGTTTTCATTATAATGCTTCATTTGGGCAAACAGATCTTACATTTTGTTGCACTATTTGCATTTTCATGCTTGCTTCTCTTGTTCTCAAGTACAAGTGGTTGAATTTCATCAAAATATTCCCAGATGGGGTCTGTTTTACATAGTAGGATTGGTTTATTCACTAAATTGTTTTCCCTTGACTAGTTTAATTTACAGCATCTGATAGCTAAAGTGGATTTCTAGAGTAAAGTCATGCTACATTTGATAGATGTTGGCTAGATAGATGTTAACTAAATGTGGACTTCTAATATGCAAACCTTGAAGCAATATATTCTACTTTAATGATGTGCTCTGGGATTTGGTTAACATTTAGTGACAGAAATTCTGACCCTAGTTCCCTTCGTAAGTTGAGGACTATCTGTACTATTGTTGCTGATTGTTCATATGAACAATATTAATTTGTAGGCCGGTCAGGTTTATAGATATTTCAAGTGAAGGATTGGTCAACTTTGTATGTAGTGTTTACTACAAGAATAATGTGTCTGCTCTGATGGAATTGAATTGGGCATCTCTACAGGCATTTGTTATTGAGTTTTTTGTTTTCTAGTCTATCCTGTTTTTTCATTCCCTTATGTAAGAGTGGTTCCAAAATGACAAATGAACACTGGATAAAATGGACTGGAGCCCAGGGATACAAAAATAACATCCTGTAGCTAATTAGATTAACAACATGCTATCATTTATATGAGCTGCTGGTTGTATATCAACACTGCAATTCTTTAAGGTAGCAGTTTAACTTGTTCAAAAGATGAGGATGGAACAGTAGATTTTCCACTTATACACACAAAGGATAGCATTACAGATTAAAAAGCTACATTTATCACTTGAATTTTACATCCAGTTTTAAGATAGTTTTTCTTTCCTTATATTGATATCTTCCTGCTCAGAAGGTAAGAGATCAGGATAAGAAAAAAGCAACTACAATATTAATCAGATCAAGTCTTCAAATAACAGAAGTATTGCTTAAAGGGAACAAGAGAAAATATACTTTTAAAATAGTCAGATGATACCACTATTTAATAATAGAGATTGTTGAATAGTTCAGTGCTTGTAGAAATACATTGCTGTCATCCTTCATAGACATATTTCAGCAATCTGCAAAATAATTGCTTTAGTCTGTCAAAAGTTTAGTCTGTCAAAAAATTAAAACAATTTATCTAATTTGTGAATTAAAATCAATATAAGAATTAAAAACTGCCAGACCAAGAAACATGAAAAAGTACTGTGGAGAAACTGAATTGTTCTCATATTTCCTGTACATATTTTGTTGAGGACAAAAGTTTTTTACATGGAGATGAAATGGAGGGGGGAATTGAGACTTCACCAAAATGGAGGAGATTCTAACAATGGCTGTTAGATGAAATAATAATCTCCCTAAAGAATGAGAGAGGATCAATTCTTTGAATAATTTATAAATAGGATGGACAAAGTATTCAACACGCTATAATGAAACTGTCAGGTGAGAGTAAAGGCATGTGGTACTATTTATTAAGCTGTTCTTTTTTTAAAAAAAATATTATTTCCAAGGTTACACAATCAAGAAAAAAAATTACAATACAAAACAAAAAACTGTCCTTTTTCATTTTTATTAATCTTAATAATACTTATATACTAGAAAGAATATGACCCGTTAACTCTGATTTAAGTATTAGCTAGCTTATACAGAGTTCTATGAAAATATACTTATTCCTTTATGGATTTTCTGAATGTTTGCATATCTTTCCCTTAAATATTATCAGTGAAAGTTAATCTGAGTCCTAATGGTACATTAAGGAAATACGATATGAAAGCAAAAAACACTGGAGTTGGTGCTTGTTCCATTTATATCATAATCGAAGTTGCCCAAAATATAATGTTCCAGTATGAAAAAATAACGACCCTCCCATCCAGTTGATTGTTTCTAACTACAGCTGGTTTATATTTCAAACATTGAGAACTTATTTGGGGCAGCTTAGTCCTATATACAATATTTGCTTCTCATCAAAGCAATGTCTTTCCCATATTGAAGTTAAGGGGATAACATATTCTGCTTTAAGCCTTGATACATCTAAAGGATGGTTTTCTAAAAATTAGTTATAATTCATGTAGACTTTTGTTGCTCAATTAGTTAAAAACAATTTCTTTCTGGATTGTATTGGAGAAAAATATTTGGAGAAAACCTACTTTAGTACCTGTGTAAAATAATATTTAAAACAACCAGAACAAGAGAACCCTAATTAAAATGTTCTTCTATAATCTACAGAAAACTATCTATTAGCAATAGGAATAGCAACTATCATGGACTATCTTATGTTTGTTTTCTTATACTAAATAAATGCTGTTGCTCTTTTCATGGATTGCTTTTTTGCATATGACAATCTGATAAAAATGAATTTTAGCCATTTATTCTAAAACTTAAATATTGTCAACCTCCAAGAATTCTTCCTGACATCTTTTATTGCTTGATTCTTGCCAGCTGCCATGGAAATGGGGGGAGGGATAATTGGGCTTTGTGGGGGAAGGGTGCTGGAGGTCTGAGTTGTGTGAACTGTAAAAGGTGGGACGCTTTCCCGCATTCTGTGCAACTGCAGCTACTTATCTTTTCTAGGCCAAGGTCAACCATCTTGGCATACCAGATGTGTGAGACGCCACCTGAAGATGTAACCCACATGACATTATACACACCTCAGATTGGATGTCCAGTTTGAACTGTTGGGGGAGGAGACTTGGGATATCTTTCAATATGTAATTTCCGTGCCTATTTGCCTCAGATCTTGCTTTCCTTTCGTTGCTATCACTTCAAATTCAGTAAAAGTACTTTTCTCTTTTAATGAAGTCTAAGGTTTTCTTTCTTGGATTATGAATGGAGGCACAGCTGACAAATATTTTAACTAATAGCAGAAATAGGATGGGGATACTGTTTTAGCCACAAGGATATAGATAAATTAAACCAGGGTGGACAATTAATTTTCCAAGGAGCCACATGAGAAAACTGGGACTGTTGCAGAGTACCAAATCAATAGGGCTGTGAAGGTGCATAAGTATGCACATACAGACATAATTGAAAAAAAAAAAAGCAGTTGCTTTCAAAATAAAAGCCATCCACATAGGCCAGACAAGGAAGCTAAAGGGCTAGATGTCACCTGGGGACCATAAATTGCCCAGGTTTGGATTAAACACATCAACCATTTTAATTTTCTATGGACTGCTTAAAGTCTGAATAAAAATTTGAAATTTGAAGATCTGGATGATTTTTGTACTTTACATAACATGTAATTTATGTGTTACCTGTTTCAGTAGCTGCCTTTCTTTGGAGAATTGGTATATTTATGAGATAATATGAGATACTTATGATAGATTCCATATAGGCATGTTTCTAAGTAGGCCTCCGAGGAAAGTCTTTACAAAAGAATTTCAGCCATTGGCCTCACCTTTTCTTAAATTTGAATCTGTGTTGGATTTCTGCATGGTCTTTTCCATAGATCTTTTAGAATCATGTATTGATCATTATCAGTCAGTAAGTGTAATATAACTTGAAAGTCAGATCTCCATCTTTTGGTAAGAGAGAAATTATTCTAATACTAGGATTCCAGCTAAGAAGTGACATATAAATTAGAAAATTGTACTCTTTTGAGAATTTTATATTTATTCCAAACATGTAACCTTTTTTTTTTGGGTTAAGTACTCATTTTTTGTAGAAATAATGAAGTGAGTTTTGTCCATTCCTTAACAGCTCATGCTTTGATAAGCATAATAATTACTTTTCTGGAGTTTGCCTTCTGACAAGCATGGACTTTGATATATTACTAGATTTTATAGTATTACTTCAGTTCTGGGTATATTAACTAAAATATACAGTATATATAGGCCAGGATAGATTACTTTACATGTACTTATCAAAACATGCATGGTGGTATTAAGACAGCTTTTAATTAGACATTTTATTTTTTTAGACTTCTACCACGGAACGTCGGATTCCTTTATGTTGGAAGTTTAGAGAGACCTTTTGCAGAAATTAAGGTAATAGCAGTTAACTTTGTAAGTTTTGCCTAGGTAAAGTTATGTGTGTGTGTGTGTGTGTGTGTGTGTGTGTGTGCATGTGCGCTGTACCATTCATATGCTCAGCATTTGCAACTTTGTGAAAAATAAGCAACTTATTTTAAAACATTTCAGTAAAGTATTTATACTTTAAAATGATTATGTTCTTTACTTTCTTAAGTCGATTCTTTTTCAGACATTTGGTTGAATTAATGTATTTGAATCTGACATACTCATCTTTTTCATGAGGATTAAATAATTCCAGGTTAATATCTATATTAGGAGCCCTGGTGGCACAGTGGTTAAAATGCAACATTGTAGGCTAACTGCAAAGTCTGGAATTTGATCCTGACTGGGTTCAAGGTTGATTCAGACTTCCATCCTTCTGAGGTTGGTAAAATAAGGACCCAGATTGTGGGGGGTAGTATGCAAATAATGCTTTTAACATGCTCAGAAAGTGCTGTAAAACACTATGGGGTGGTATATAAGCCTAAATACCATTACTATCGCTGTAATTATTGTAGAGAGAATAATAATACTGTCACAAAGAGGAAGACAACAGTTGTTTCCACTGTTGTTTCCTAGCATCTTATATTTAAGACATGCTGCCTACAATTCTAGGTGTAATAAAGAGTTATCAAGGTTAGTACCATTAATACCCTAATACTCTATTTACTTATCCAGTCCTCTTTCAAAACTGGCTAAATTGCTGTTTATCAGTTGGTCTGATGGCAGCAAATCCCATAGTTTAGCTATGCTTTGTATAAGCAATTTAGCTTTTAATGCTTCTGAATATCAATACATTTTATTTTAAGAAATGATCCTAAATTTTAAGAGGGAGAAAAACCAGTCTAAATTTACAGATAGTTTATGTTTTCCTCTGAGAAAGATTGAAATACCCCTCTCAAAAAAATTATTTTAGCTGTTTTGTTATATACATATTCTATTTTAAGAGGTGGTGATCAAATATCTACATACATGCTCCAGGGAGATGAGCATAACTAATCAGGTGTTCTTGATGCTCTTTTTTCTCTCTTTCCCACCCAGGTTCTCTTAACCATGTTATGGAAATATTTAATTTTTAAGAATCAGTTTAAATTCTTAAGCACTTACTTTTTTTTAAATAAAGCAACTAGAAGAGTCGATATTTTAGGTGATACTTTAACTGGAGTACCAAATCTTATAGGAAGAAAATTTCCACATGAAACAAGAATCCTGTTGAAATGATAGCAAGATAAACTGGCTATGATTAAGTCAAAAACAAAATTATATAATATTTTAAAATATAACACTGGCACGATCATTTAATTTATAGGAAAGTGACTGGAATCTTGCCTGAATGAAATTGCTTTCAGATAATTTCATGTTCTGTAGGATTTAACTGATGATTTCCATAATAACATTTGAATGTGAGATAGTTAATAAAAGACATATTTCATAGTTGCCAACCTTGGCTACTGAAAACATACCATAATTAGTCTTTGGAGATTATGTTTATTCTTTTGGTATACTGCAGCCAGATGAAAAGATTTAAAACTGAGAGCACATGATTAAATTTATCTCTTCTTATTGTAGAATGTTCCTATGCAGGCAAGTATTATACCATAGGGAAAGCAGAACTCCTATCGTGCCAATCTGGGTCTTTGTTAGGAACAGAAACCAGCTCATGCATACTATTACATATAATTATCATAAAATTATGGGCTAGAAATGGAAGAGTCATGCTGTTGCATTTTAGACACCATATTTGTAATAAGCTGTAATAAAATAAGCGTTTTTGAATTGGATATAAGAATAGGCCTTACTTGCAATTACAAATGTGTGTTCAATTGAAATACTTTTGAAGCTCAATTTAACAAAGCAAACACATTTTCTGGCAGCTTTAGTATAATTGTTTCCAGGGTTGAAATCTCATTTAATTTTTTTTGGTGAAAAAAACTTGAATAAAGCTAGCTGCTAGGAAGCGAAGCACAGTTGAAGAAAACTATTTCAATTACCTGGTTTTTCAGTTTTATGTGAAACAATAAATAACAGTAAGTGTTAAAGGATTCCTGTTTATTTTTTTCCATACTTTCCATATGATTTAAATGATTTATTCATATGTAGAAATTGTCATTTTAATGAGACATTTTAATTCTATATGCTATATATAGGACATTTCTCTTAATATATAGGGCAGACCGCAGTTAACATCAAATATATATACAGTGAGAAAATTGAAATCTATACTTGCTTCTTGATAAGCACACCAATTTTATATGGATTTATAAGTCACTTTCATTGACTTTTAAGTATATATTTAAAATGACAAACAATGGCTTGTCATTCTTTTTCAGGAACATTACAAATGATAGACGCTAATATTGTGTTAGCAGGAGTTTTACTTTCTGTGTCCCTGCAAATTATTTATAATGTATTTGGCAGGGGAGTGCGGGAAACAGGAGCATTCTCCCTTCCAGTTCCTTAGAAGAAGATGCTTCTGTTAGCACATACATAATCAGTCCCCCTCCACTATTCTCCAGCAGCAGTGAGCTACCAACATTTAGTGGCATGATGCACTGCTGATTTTAGCATGCAGTTGAAAGATGCCTCCTATATGGTTAAAACATCTTTAAAAGTATAATTACATTTCAGATATTTGGTCCATGCCTTACTAGTAGCATCATCTCATCGCCCTTCTTCTCTGAAGCCATCAGCTACAAAGTAAACAAGTAGATTCCCAGGCACCAAAAAAAATGGATTCCCTGCTGTTTTAACAGAAACATGTATTGGATTTCCTCCATGCTATGCCAACTGGGAGGCTGTGGTTGAAGAGGGGCTTTATGAAGAAACATTGTTATCTAAAAGGATTTGAAATGATGAAGGACAGTATTTTTTAAATTAAAGAATAGAACTGAAAGAAGTCATTATCTTATACCTCTGAATTGCTCATTTGCTGTGGCAGTTCAGCTAATCTTACATCGTGATTTGGAGCCCGTTTTGCAAAATATATCTGACAGTTATTTTTAAAATATATTTGGACTATATTATTATATAAACATTTACAGATAAAGATTCCTTGCTTTTTCTTTTTTTCTTTTTGGTTTTGGAGATTCTTTTTATATATGATTATATAAATAGAAAATGTAGAGTAGAGTAGAATAGAATATAATTTTTTATTGGTCAAATGTGATTAGACACATACAGAATTTGTCTCTGGGGCATAAATTCTCAGTGTACATATGAGCAACAAGAGATAAATCATGATCATAATCATAAAATACAATCATCATAAATCAGAGGATATAAACTCAGAGGATATAATAAGATACTACATAAAGGCAATCAACATAAATCATGAGATACAAGCAACAAAGTTATAAGAAGCTAAGGAAATAAGTAATAGGAAAGATGAGAAGAAGAATAAGTAATACAGCCCTACTATGTGGTTTGACATAGGGCATAGACAGTGTTGTTGGAATTAGTGATTTAGCATATTGATTGAATGATGGAAAAACCTGTCCTTGTGTCTAGTTTTGGCGTGCAATACTGTATAACGTGATCTTGAGGGGAGGAGTTGAAACAGTTTATGTCCAGGATGTGAGGGTCTGTAGATATTTTCACACCCCTCTTTCTGGCTCATGCAGTATACAAGTCCTCAGTGGAAAGCAAAGGCCCTAGAAAAATTGATTTATGACTGTTTTTTCACATTTATGGAGGAAAAGGAGGAAAAGGTGATGGCTTCTTCTAATAATGTTATCCCTTGTATCAAGTGGCCCTTGAAGGTTAATTAAAAATAAAACAAAACACACACATACAACGTAGTCCATTTTCCAAAGATTGCTTGTTCCTGTTTTAATGGATAAGAAAAGCAGAGAATTCTGGAGGGTCTGCTTTGCAAAACAAGAACAATCTTTTTACTAATGGCTAGTATTGATGAATCTAAGTCAGCCTAATTTTTACAACAGTGTTACTTTCTGATATTACTCAGTTGTGATTTGTAGGTTGGACCAGTGATTATAGTAGATAGTGATAGCATAAATTACATGGGGGGGGGGAATGTTTTCTCCCCCTCCCCTCCTTCCAAGCATATTCAGAATAATTATAGTAACATATCATTGTTTAAACTGATCAGCGCTTTCAGTTAGGAAAATGCATTTAGGTTGTTGTTCTGACAGATGTTATCATTTTCTGGAAAGATCTTCCAGATTGTTAATGAATGGCCAAGCAAGTACATAGTTAGTTAGTTAATAATCCCATTTAATTGTCACAGTGAAATAGAGCAAGCACATAATTTTCTGCTATTTCAATTCTGTGAACACCATAAGAATGATAAATTATGACAGAGCTTTATAGAGAATGCTGATTTGTGAAAGTCATTGACTATAATAAACTTTCTTCCCTTCCCTTTTCCTTCTCAAACAGGTGGTTCACTAACATATTTTCCTCCTTCAACAGGAAATGGATGGATGGACTTAGCTAGCTAGAGATAAATTTTACCTGGCAGTGGTTACCAGTTAATATGCATTTTCAAGTCATTAGTAGCCTAATGTTTTTTCTGTGGGCAATCATATTCACTGTGGATTGGGAAAGTGTATATTTTCCTGAATGTGACTAGCTGATTCCACAACTGAAAACCATCTGGCTAAAAACTGCTTTTTGTGACATATATGTGATATGCTATAAAAAAGATTATGGATGGACACATTGGGCAGTTAATCATGCTAACAAAATGGGAATGATTCCAACCCTATTTTGTGATGGATAACTTACTGGTTAAAACTCCCAGCATTTCTCATGATGTCACTTCTGCTAAAAAGATTTAAATCCATTGACCCACCAGAAATCAATATAGTGGCTACGGTGGTGGTGATATGAATTACTGGTGTTTATACAGCTGGATGGGGTTAGAAGGAAGCGCTTGTGATGATTAGATTTAAATAAATTTAAATTACTACAGAAATGATAATAGTTTAAAATTAAAAGGATGGGGAAAAATTGGAAATGCATTTGAGAATTTGTAAAATTTCTTCAGGACAAAATAATACCTTGCTGTTTCAACAGTAGTGTTACTAGTTACTAGAAATATTAGTTAAGCTGAAATACTTCTGTAGGCATGAAGCAGGCATTGAGAACCCTGGCATCCTACTGTAATGAGGAACAATTTATAATCAGTTTATGATAAATCCAAAGTTTTAGATTTTTTCCTAACAAAAGACAAAAGCACAAATGGACAATTGGTTCCCATGAATTAGAGCAGGTCAGATATTTAATATTTGGGCATAGTATTTCAGGCCTCCAGGACATTAACAACCCAGGAAAATTATGCCACTTCTACTGCTCAAAAGAACACACAAACAATAATTAAATTTTATAGGCAACAGGGCATATTACATTCCAGCAGCGGTTAAATTGTTTACAGCTAAAACAATTACCCAACTGGGATACAACTTGACCCATACACATATCTGAGCATTTATGAAGCCATTGAAATTTTTTTAGGATTTTGTTCAGTCTCCCAGTACAGTACTGAGGCTTGAAGCTAATGTACTAAGTATTAAGAGTCAGGCCTGGTGTAGGATTCTAATCTCAGTATTTAGAATCAAGTTGGATCCTACAGCTACCAATCTCATTGGCCCTGTATCTATATAGCAGAACTTTGAAGTTGTGCTTATCCTGAATCTTTAAGCCAATTAACCCTGGAGAAGGCTGAATTAATAGTAGAAGAAAGAATTGGGGACATTGATCATCAAAATATCACCAGTGAGTGCCCTTGGAATTCTATCACCAATTATTGGAAAGACCCAAGCTTTTTACTGCAGGGTATCTATACAATCAGAAGTTAGTTCCTTCTCTTTCTTTTCATTTTTCTTTTCATTTTTTAGTTTTGGCTTTGTTTTCTCTCTCTCTTTTCCTCTTTCTTTTCTTTACATTAATTCTTGTTAGGTTTTATCTGTTGTTGAAAATTCTCAATAAAATATATATGAAAAAACAAAGGAAGTATTATAAAATATTGCCTTGGGACAAGATTAGGCTATTCATTTCCACTCTAGTACAGAAACCATTTCTCATATAATGAAAACAAGAATAGCATGGGTTTTGTTTAGAAAAATAAAATATGTTCAACAACAGAGGTTACCATAGCTACTCCAAAATTTTGCATGGCTAATAAGGTGCATAAGATAAAGTATTCAAAACAAATAAAATGTTAAGTGGATGCAAGTAATTCTATGATTTAGTGTTAATCTAATAGTAAAATGCAGCTTGAAAGATATCTGCTTATGGTTTAACTTTTTTTTAAATAAAACCAACCCTGGAAGCATTCAAATTATTTTATTATAAAGGCATTAAGACAAGTATATGGCATTTCTGATTCTCAAATGTGTTAAATTATAATTCCCTGCAGCCCCAATCAGGATATTAATGGAAATGAATATTGGAAGCTACAGTTATCAACATCCGGAGGCCATAGATTTCCCATCAGTTACTTAGTTACACACAGATGGAAAGCGGTTTTGTAACTTATACCAGTGGGGAATTTTATCATTGTAAATTTGTACAGTGATAAAATCGTGACCATAATTATTGTTAGTTTGAGAAGACATAGGATTACAGAAATGTTGGACAATTTTAAAAATCGATTTTAGTATAGGTTTACTGATTCAAATGACAAGTATAACATATTTAGAAATCTAAGTGGGATGTTTTGGGATCTTATGGAATATATTCTGATTAAATAACACAATAGACACAATTTCCTGTGTTCTATTTTATATTCTGTTTCTGTAGATGTACCGTAATTACATCAAGAATAAAACGTCTTGTGATTTGAACAGAAATCCTTTGCATTTCTGCATTCTAGGATTTTTCCCCTTAAAAAAATTATATGCCCATAGGGATGTTATGTATTCAAAAATAATTTCAATATATATTCGTAAATTGAAATTTAACTTGACTGTTTTCTACTTTTATCATGATCTGAATTTAAGAAAAAAATTGACTTTCTTTTTTCATTTGCAACAAAAAATATTTAAAAACAGGTAACAAAAGACTTGAAGCAATATGATAATAAAATAATAGAATGCAAGTTTGAAAACAACAGCTGGGTCTTTATGAGACAAAGGATAGACAAAAGTTTTCCCAATGCTTACAGTACAGCAATGGGTAAGTGCAATAAATTGGTTCTGTATCTGCATTTTGTTATTAAACTTTAGCCAGTAAAAATAACCTTTTTTTTTTTTTTGCAAAGACTCTTAAGACTCATAATTTGAGTTCTTTTGGCTTCAATAAAAATTGGAGTTCAGAACTGCAGTTTGACTCATGCATATTTAAAAATGAGACTTGGACTGGCATGGAGCGTTCATATCAAGTGGTCTTCTCTTGTCTGGCACTTTCAATCATATTCAAATTAAGACAGATACTACTCAGTGAAAACTAATGTGTAAAGCATGGAAAATAAGATATTAAAATTATGAAAAATAATTGTTTATGTAGTACATTTGAATTTTCCTACTATTATTAAAAATAATCTACTAAAAATATAAGACAATAAGATTCATCCTAAGGCAAATGCTTAAAAATCATTACAAATTATTACTGTCGTTGTTGAATAGATTGAGCTAAAATGCATTTTAACTGTACACTTCATGTGGCAAAAATTTATTTTGAAAAATTCAAAGGAAAAATACTATTGGTATGTTGTAATAAAAGTTACAAAAAATATTTTAAGTTCCAAAAAAATATTTAAGTACCAAGTGATACTAACTTTTATTAACGTCACTATTTATGCATAAAACCCATAGTTACATGCTGTTAAGGATTCCATATTTGTACAGTTTAGGTGCCAATATTTTCCACAAAAACATGAAATTACTTAAGATATATACTTTTCCCCAAATAATATGTTGCTTGCAAATGTCTAAGCATAATACACTTACAATTAATAGAAAATATTTAAATGTGTTTAAAATTTGTTTTAATTGCTTCTTAACAGTAATAAGTTAACCTTTTAGACCAGGGGTGGGCAAACTTTTTGGCTCGAGGGGCCTCATTGACTTTTAAAATTTGACAGACGGGCCGCCACCTGGTGTCGAAATGCCTGTCATTACAAGTCAAAATCAAATGAATGCAATCATTCAATCATTCACATCACACCTTAATTCTGTACCAATCTTCGGCGGGCCGGATTAAAAAGACCAACGGGCCGGATGTGGCCCATGGGCCGTAGTTTGCCCACCCCTGTTTTAGACCAATGTTTCCAAAAATACTATATCAAAATTTATTACATAGTTACAAGAAACATACCAGGCTGTTTATTGCAGGATTCAGTAGAGTATAGTGCAGATGACGCTAAGCTGGCAGGAATAATCAACACCCCAGAAGACAAACTCAGGATCCAAAAAGATTTGACAGTCTTGAACAATGGACCCTATCAAGGTTTTATACCTAGGCAGGAAAAAAACCAAAGATACAAGTACAGATTCGTGAAACCTGGCTCAAAAACAGTAACTTTGAGAGGGACCTTGGAGTCCTTTGGACAATTCATCAAACATGAGCTAGCAGTGTGTGGGAACAGCCAAAAAAGCTAATACAATAATTGATTGTATAAACAAGAGGCTCAAAATCACACGAAGTATTAGTACTGCTTTATAAAGCCTTAGTGAGGCCATATCTGGAATATTGCATTCAGTTTTGATCACCACATTACAAAAAAGATGTTGAGACTCTGGATAAAAAGTGGGAAGAATAGCAACTAAGATGATTAAAGGCCTGGAGACAAAAACATGAAGAACGATTGCAGGATTTGGGTATGGCCAATTTAGAGAAAAGAAGGTCTAGGGATGACATGACAGCAATATTCCACTATTTGAGGAGGTGCCAGAAAGAAGAGAGGGTTAACTTAGTCTCCAAAGCAGCAGAGGGCAGGACAAGAAACAATGGATGGAAACTAATCAAGGAAAGAAGCAGCCTGGAATTAAGAAGAAACTTCCTAAGAACGAAGACAATAAATACATAGACTAGCTTGCCTTCAGAAGTTGTAAGTGCTTCATCACTGGAGATTTTTAAGAAAAGAGTGGATAACCACCTATCTGAAATGGTAGAAGTCTCAGAGACTGGAGGAAAAAATATCAAAATTTCTGGTTTTGGGGATCTGAGGAGTTTTAGGTTTCGGTGTAGAAATTGACCTTTATAGGAACATTGTGATGGGAAGCTTCTTCTTTTGAACTAGTTGAACATGGTTGCATATGGATAAAACTTTCTTTGAGTTTCACTGCATGGATTATGTTGTCATGATGCTCATAAAAGTTTGCAAGGCAGTTGGTTTGGATCCACTGGATTTTGAGAATCTCCATTCTCTGTTAATGCAACTGTGAATAAATGTGTTTTCTTGCTCTTCTCCATCTCACAATGTGTTATTTGCCTTCCAGCTGTATGCAACAGTATACAACATCCAGTAACAAAGGAATTCCTTTTTGAATTCATTCAAAAATGTATGGCAGCAACTCCAGGACAGCCACGTAAACATCATCTAGATCCTGACACTGAACTCATGCCACCACCGCCACCTAAAAGGCCTCGGCTGTCATCATAACATATCTCTTCTGACCAAGAAAATAGTAGAATTGTTTAGAATTCTACAAGACAATATGTTTGGTGTAAATATTCTGTAAATACTTAAGTGCATTTTTTTTGGAATGCCGCATCAGGAACTAAGATTTGTTTTCTACTTGACAAGTTGAACATTGTTTCTAAGTTTGAAAAATATTAATCTGAAGAGTTAGATTAAAAAGATATGGAATCAGTGGAAAGCTATTGTTTGGTAGGTAACTTTCAAATTTAATATTTTATACCAGCAATCAGGAACTGTGAAGCCATGATAAAAATGTTCCCCCCTTTTTTTAAAACAACAACAACAAAAGTATTTCAGTGAGTGTGTGAAACTTATTGCCTGGTTTCATTTAGTTTAGTTCTTAGGGTCTTGTTTTAAAAATAATTGCAAATGGTATTGTAATGTTCTTCTTAAATAAAAGTTTACCAGGTTTCACTATTTTTTTATATTAAAGACATTACAAGGTATTATATAAAAATTGTATTGGATGTGCACTGAGTGTTTTTTTTCCATCTTGAACTAAACATTTCCTGAATCTGTTTTAAAACTGGATTCTGCATCATTACCAAACATAAACAGTCCTTGATATTAAAAACTATTTTCCATTTCTGTGCAAATAAATACAAGTTATACCAAAAAAGTATATAATTTGAGTTTCATGAAGATTAGCCATTTTAACAATATAAGTTTCTAGAAGATGGTAGAAGAAAAACCAGAGAATATGTTGGTATATAAAAGTGGCATTTAATCTCAATTCCAGGAAGAATGGCTTTTAGAACAGTTAATATAAAAGGAAATATTTTCATGGAAGAAGTTAGAATGATAAGCTTAGTTCAGTTTAGTTTTCAAAGCAAGAGTCAGTTTAGCTGATTGCCAACATCTTTCACAATCTGTTTTTTTAATATTCTAGTTTAAAATAAATCATAAGTTGCAGGACAACTATGTTTTATTCTACCCCTAAAGCATTTCATTGATATGGAGAACAAAGATGTGTTTAAAATAGATAAATATTTGTAAGGGTAAACATTTTCACAAGTTGATTGTAAAAGAAACCATCTCGCATTTTAACAGTATTTATGTATAGATCACAACTATTTAATCAACCTTTGATCTTTGTTAGTAATATGGTGGTAGCCAAACAGAATATATTAGAAACATTTACTGTTTATATTTTTAAAGTTTAATAGTTTTCTTGAGCCTAATATATGGAGATCAATTTGTGCTTTGTTCAATGCCCATTTTGGAGTCTACAAAAATATTTATCTTTCAGGCATTGAAGGAAAAATGTGGTTAATTATTTTATGCAATTAAAATGCTAAATACATTGTTTTGGTAAGGAATGAGCTGAGATTGGTGGAGGATACTAAAAACAATGAAAAGCTTATCTAGATATATTCAAAATAAAAGGAATATATCAGTATACTAAATGCTGAATAAAAACAACAGAATGCTAATATGTAGGAAAAATTGGAACTACACAACTCCTATTTGGAGCAATCTGTTTTGAGAAAATGAAATATGTTCCATCAGGCAATTTGAACAGGAAGATGAAAGTTCCTAAAATTGCTTATTTAGTTTGAATTAGATTCAATTTCCAGACTACATAAATCCTAGTGCCCTTCCTGTCTTCAGGTACTGAAGGATGAGTTGATCAAACCTGCATGCTATTTATTGTCTATGAAAAATCTTGGCCCTGTCTTTAAAAAGTTATGGGCAGGGAATTACAGGCAAGCCCGTTTACCACTAATACCTGCAAAAAATCCAGGACAGATCACAACTCTAACCTTGAACACCCTGCAGTGATTTTCAGTAGTCAGTTGGATAAAGGAAAAACAAAACTTAGGCAGTCAAATTTTACTTCATTTTTTGGATGGGGAAATGGAGTTGAGGGCCGCTATAGTTAGCAATGAGAAAAATCGAGTAAAATCTGCAGGGACTCTTGGATGGGGTAACTTCCTTAACAAGTCATAGCAGTGCTGCAGACAAATTGAAACTGAAATTCAATTAAGGCCCTTGAGGCCTGTTCTGTTCAACATTTTTGTATTAAATTCTTGAATGAAGAAGTAGAAAGAATGCTTATCATTTTTGTAAAAGACACAAAATTGGGTAGGATACCAAATACTTGAGAAGGCAAAAATTCAAAATGCTATTGATACGTTAGGAAAAAATGGGATGAAAGGAATAGGATGAATTATAACAGAAATAATGCAAATATATACGTTTAGGAAGCAAAGATCAAATTCATAGGTATTAAACAGGAGAGAACAGTCTTGGCAATAGTATTTGGGAAAATCTTAGAATTATACTTGTTTACAATACAAATCACAGAGCGGTGGCTACAGAAAAGGCAAAGGTAAATT